AGCATGACAATGCTCGACCCCATGTTGCGAAAGTGGTCAAGCATACTTGGAAACGTTGAAATGGGAAGTCCTACCCCACCCGCCGTATTCTCCAGACGTTGCTCCCTCTGAGCTCCCTATCACTTGTTTCGATCAATGGCACACAGCCTGGCTGACCAGCACTTCCGGTCTTATGAAGAAGTAAAAAATTGGATCGATTCGTGGATCGCCTCAAAAGATGACCAGTTTTTTCGACGCGGGATCCGTACCCGAAAGATGGGAGAAAGTAGTGGCCAGCGATGGATAATACTTTGAATCATAAATGTATAACCAGTTTTTTACAATAAAGCTTCGAATTTCGGAAAAAAACGGCGGAAGCAAAGTTGTACACCTAATAAAAATGCGAAAAGTGAATGAATTCACTAGATGTTGACCAATGAAATTATAAATATTCTAGTAAATTCGTTCACTTTTCGCATTTTTACTTCTCACACAAAACCGTAATAAACTCCCAGGTAATAATTTCGTAAAATCTTACGATTTATCCATATTTTTTTAGTAACATTGTATTTTATTCCTGGAATGAAATTGTTTTTGCGGTTGAAGATAATATTCGTGTCCTTCCTCATCTGATGGATCATTAAAAAGTAAATTCTACCATTCATGTAAATCCATTTCTTATCTGTGAATATATTAGAATATTAAAGTAATAACATCCATGTAACGTTCTGTTAATTAACGTTTGTATATCTTACTTTCAATTTCATTTTTATTCTAAGACAGGTATATATATGATTAAACGTTAATAAATAATTTTAAAACCGTAATTTTAAACTCGTAAGTTTAATTGTAACTTCCGTCACATATATGAATAGTATAAACAGAATTCTTGTAAATAAATTAGGATACATATTATTTTAAATTAGGATTATATTTTGCACTTCAGATTTTTCACATGATTGTTTATAATAAATATGATTTTAATAAAATATAAATAATCTTACCACACGTTAAAAAAAAATATGGATATAATCGTGAGATTTTATGTGAAATTATTATCTGATGTCAAATGCGCATTCTTTACTTCTTAGGGTCTCCACATACAAATTGACATAATAGTAACGTAAGACGTACCGTAAAAATTGACCAATTACGATCGAGTATATATCAAAATGACGACCTTACGGTTCAACGATTTTTAATGTAATTGATCAATTCTTACGGTACGTCTTAAGGCCAAATTATACTAGCAATTGACGATTGACGATTGAAGATAAGGTTTTGACAAATCAACGAGCTTCAACCTTGGTTTACTTTGTTCCAATTGGTCCAATCTTCAATCGTCAATCATCAATCGCCAATCGCTAGTGTGATTTGGCCTTTACGTTACTGTTATGTCAATTTATGTGGAAAAGCTCTTAGGGCTTCACAAGTGATATAACTGCATGTGCATAATATAAGACTGTATGGACCAATGAGCATCGAGTATTTAGCCGCTATATTGATGCATGATGCTCAATACTCGATGCTCATTGGTTCATACAGTCTTAGGGCCCTCACACATGAAATGACATAACTGCATGTGCATAGCATAAGACTGTATGGACCAATGAGTATCGAGTATTTAGTCTTTATATTGATGCTTGATGCTCAATACTCGATGCTCATTGGTCCATATAGTCTTATGCTATGCACATGCATTTATATCATTTCATGTGTGAAGGCCCTTATACTATGCACATGCAGTTATGTCATTTCATGTGTAAGGGCCCTAATTCCAGCTTGTTCTTATGGTAAGACATTGGTCTGGTTTACATCGTGCACTTGATATGTACTAAATAGTAACTTTCTAGATAATTTTAGATAATCTTAATATTGATAATGCATATAAACGCTGACGCGTTTAATCAATACAATACGTTTTCTTGATGAGTATTGTATCAGCTTAATATACCGTTGTTTATATACATCGTCGATATTAAGATTATCTAATAGAAAGTTACTATTTAGTACGCGTATCAAGTGCACGATGTAAACTAATAGCGAATTCGGTAGCTTGCACTAGTGCGCACTGAGTGCGCATTAAGGCTTGTTTACAGTACATTCTTATATTTAAGATCGTGTCTTAAATACATATTTAAAAACATTTTAACTAATAAAATGATTCGTACGGATGTTATACATATCATATTATGGTTAAAAATATTTGAGAATTTATTTGAGAATTATTTAAGACAATTTTTAAATATAATAACATACTATGAACAAGCCTTAGTGCGCACTCAGTGCACACTAGTGCAAGCAACCGAATTCGCTATAAGCCATTATTTTTCACATTTAAACCACATCGCTTGATACTTAAAAATGTTCATGGAAACTTACACAATTTACATATAAAGAAGAACATCTACGCACAAACTGAAAGTTTACGTGAAATATTTCACGTTTTGAGAATTCACTTCTCACGGTTAACGTTCGCCTCATTTATTAAATTTACTCATATTATATTATTATATTATATTATAACTATAAATTTAAGTTGTATAATGTTTATTAATGTGTTATATATTACATTGTGTATACTGTAATTACATTTTAATTTTAATAATCTATATTACATAAATATTGCTTTCCACATTTTCATTGTTCACTTTTCATGTGAAATAATTTACAGTGAAAAGTGAAAAATAAAAATGAAGTTCACGTGAAAGATTCATGATCGCTACCCTGGTAATATATATTTCAGTGGGGGCAAATCAACTTTTTCACTCTGTTTTAAACTGCCAATTTCCGGCTTTACTCGCTGCTACAGTAGAAGTATAGGAATGCTTGGTCTATGTATATACGTCATTGGTAAGACGCGAAATGAATTATTTTTATTCGTCGACAGCTCACATTACAGATTTACAACCATATTCTTATAGACATTGTAGACGAACCTAATTGAATCTGGCGAGTATAATAAGAAATAAAAAGGAAAAATAAATTGTGAAAATTGTGAGTAAATAAATTGAATCTCGGAGTTTGTCGCGATTGCGAGTCCCAGCATCCCAGATGGCGTAGGCATCTTTATCTCGCGCGTCGAAAAGATTCGAAGTTTACTATCTCACATATATCTCACACGAGTAGACGGAACTGACGAAACGATTAATTAACTCGTTCGTTGTGTTCTCTCACGATATTGTTTGACAGCTCTGACAGATACTTCTTCAAAACACAGTAGCCAGTTTATCGAATCGAAAGCCGGCCGTAATCGCGTAATCGTTGCTTTAAATGTCATGCCCAACGATTCCCTCGATCGTTTTAATTGCTGCGATATTGGATTTGCAGTAATTCGATGAGCAAAAAGTTACTGTAAAAATTCCAAGGGACTCGTAACAGCGATAAATATCAGCAATTAATCTCCGACATGTCAGCGTCCGAAACTGTGGTCATTTTCGCGAAGCTGGAGGCTTTGAAAGATATCAGGTACATGAGATGGGTGAACATTTGAGTCAAATTTAATTAGGCATGTGCACTTACAACTTTCTTCATACCCCGATTAGGTCAAAAACTCTCCAGTTGGAAAAATTGAAGCAAAGAATATTGCAAGAGGTAGAACAGACCGAGCAAGAGGAGAAATGTTTGTTAGAGTATAAACAAGAAATGGATTTACTGATGCAGGAAAAAATGGCACACGTCGAAGAATTACGACAGATACATGCAGATATAAATGCGGTAAAAAAACTTTTAATGTAATATTAAGAAATAGTACATACATATTAAAAACTATCTTAAACTATCTTAAACTATCTTAAACTAATATTGGATATGTTACATAAAATATATAATTTTCAATTATAAACTTGTTTTTTCAAAAGCTTGTCTTTCTGTTAGATGGAGTCTGTAATTAAACAAGCAGAGGAAGCTCGTAACAGAGCAAGAGAAACTGCAAAATTAATCCATAATAATGACTATCAGCCACTGAAACATGACATTGATCGTATGCGCAGAGAATTTCTAGGCTTAGAAAGGTTACCAGAACTATATGAGACAGAGTCAGATCTCATTTCACCTGAGTAAGTACATTAACTATTTAGCTATCAGAATTCATATGTGAAAAGATGTCACCTACTGTCAGCTGATTAATTAAATGTGAAATTATAAACTGGGTTGAGTTAAACTTTTATTGTGTAGACGATTTGTTCATAGCTACTTTGAACGCCCGATGCAAAAGGCAGAGTGGAGAGTGGAAGTACGTGGTGATGACTTGTTACCACCACTTGGATTGCATCATCCTGGACATCCAGGTGGCTCTACACCTTTCCTTGCTCCACAACCACTTCAAGGACCCAGTAAACCAGAACCCAGACCATTACCACCAGCCCCAGGGCCCCCAGCTCCAACATTCAGGTACCACTGGTATATCTCGACCCCTTTATTACATTTTTATGTAAATTAATATTACTAATAAACAATATTACTATTAATATATATTAATATTATTAAACACTAATGTGTTTTATGTAAGAATAGAAACTTGAAAGAGAGGATAACAAATATCTATAATATAAATCTATAAAACTGCTGCTCCAACCGACAAAATAATGATATTTCTATCATTTTGTAGGCAACAACCACCACCTATGAAGTCTTGTCTTTCATGTCATCAACAGATTCACAGGAATGCACCAATTTGTCCACTCTGTAAAGCAAAGTCGCGCTCACGTAATCCTAAGAAACCAAAGAAGAAAGATTAATTGTAATTAGGAGTATTATTTATATGAATGAATCTGCATTTCTACAACTCATATGTAAGAAGACACATGTATTAATCATTTTTGTAATCCATAGCAACTATGCACTTTTATCGTATCATTAGCATTTATATTAACATAAATAATAGCACAGCATTCATGAAAATCTATGTGTTTATATAATATGTCAATTTTTTGACAAAACAGCATTCTTTAGTTTTTAAAGTTGGATTATATTCGCGCGCCCGTGTTAAGAATATATAAGACCATGTATGAATTTATATAACCAAATATAATTTCTACTATCAAGAGAAATAAAAGTAAAAATTTAATATTTGACAACTTGCTTTACTTAATATAATTAATAAGTAGCGTTAAAAATGTTACATGAATATACGCATTATAACGAACAGATAAAAAAACGAACAGATTATCTATCAAAGTTATCAAAAAAAGAATAGAAATGAATTAGGTATTTACACTGCTACAGGATAATTAATATCAAACATTAGTTTTATATATTTGACATTATTTTCTTTTCACAAACTTGTAAAAAGATATATATACAAATATAAGTACAACATACATTTTGATTTGCAAATCGAGTTAAGTTCACATTTTATTTGTACAAATACTAAAAAATTATATATATTTGTTTTTGTACATTATTTTCTAATATATTGCTCCTTGCAGTTATATATAAATTGTTTCTTAGTGTATCACAAATTGTTTCTTAGTGTATATAATTGCACTTCGAATAATATAATTCGTACTTTTTCTTTTTTTTCATAATATATTATCGTAGTTTTTGTTGTGATTTCCTTGTAATTATATCTTTAATAATAATAATGTTGTAATATCGGATGTGCTTGTATTATTATTAGTATTATTTTTATCATAAATCTTTATACTACTTTCTTGAAGTACTCATTTCAATAAAAAAAAAAATATACTAACAATTACACACTTGCCTCAGAAACTAAAAAAACTGCTTTAAAACTAAATTTTGAGAAATTTCTATTTAATTAAATCAGACTTTATTCTTTAAGTTAAATGGAAAAAATAAAGACTATGTGTCTTTATTTTTTATTTATTTGTATAAATCAGTCAAATATTGGAAAATAAAACAATCTAATAAACATTTAAATATATTTTGAGCAAAAATAGTTATATGAAGACTTGCAATCTAAAACTGATAAATGGGAAGCGCTGAGACTGAGCCAGTTAATTAGCAAATTTTGAGCAATTTTGCAGCATTATTTAATGTAATCATATAATTGTGATAACTTAAAAGATTTATAAACAAAAATCTGTAATTCTTATACATTTGTATGTATATAAAAGTTATTTATGGCAGAATTTATCTATTAATCTTTTCATTGTTTTCTTAAAATTATAGTAATTATATGCTAATTCTAATATATACAATATTTAAAAATTTATGATTTCTTTTTCTCAAGGAAGCAAAATAAGAATTCTGGAAGAATAATCGGTAAATACTTTTGATTAAATTATCTATGGCAAGTTTGTTTTTACGATACAAGTCCCGTAATTGTGCCTAATGTCATATATTGTGATTTAAATTTATACATACATACATTTATACATACATACATATACATACATATATACATATACATATATATATATATATATAAAAGTGTATGTGTGTGTGCGTGTACACACACACACACACACACATACAAACAAACACACATATACACATAACAAAAGAGAAATTAATATATTTATTTGGAATTATTATAAATTTATATTTAGAAGAAACTCGAAACTCTCAAACTGAAATGGTATAATCTGTTCATATTGTTTTTATTTATATATATGTGTGTGTGTATGTATATAATATGTATGTATATATAAACAATAGAATATGAATAGATTATACAATTTTAACTTAAAAATTTCAAGTTTCTTCTAAATATAAATTTATAATTTCGAATAAATGTATTAATAAATATATTAATTCTTCATCTGGATCACATTCTTAACAAAATATATAATATTGTATAAAATATCTACACACGTAGAAAGAGAATGTGTAATCTCTCCGTAACAATAATATTTGTATATGTTCATAAAAAATATAAATCAATTTGCATTGTTGTTGTTCGCCGATATTTTATACACCAGTTGTGGCAGTTGTGCCATTATTGCACCCGTAAAAAAGATAAATTTTCTCTGTCAACAATTTTCGTTATACTTTATCACCATCTGATGTCCCGTCAAACTTTCGAACTTCGCACGATGTTTGAGTATTATCAGATCTTAAATGTACTAATGGAATTTCGACATCTTTCATATGTTCATTCGGCATTTCGTGTTCTCCGGCTTTTTTCAACTCTGGTGGGATCAAACGCCTTTTCACAAGTTGTAACCATAACATGGAAATAATTAACATCACGCCAGTAATACCAAAAGTATGATATGTGCCTAAACGAGTGTAAATAAGGCCTACAAAAACTGGGCCCATAACGCGAGATGCACAACCAGAACCTGTCATTAATCCCATCCACACGCCTTGCGGACGCGGTCCGAGAATTTTACTAAATATCGTTTGTATCAAAGTGACTCCTAGAGGATAACCTATGCTGGTAAAGCCATAACCGATGAAAAATTGAATAACCGTCATTTGCGGAGTATAAAGACACCATTCCTGGGTAATCGGACAGCCCACGATCTCCGTGCCATTAATGTCTTCTGTGATATTATTGTATACTGGAAGATATTAAAGCAAATACTTCTGTATTACAGAATCATCAGTTACATACTACTATTGTATAGCAGAATGGCCCACATAACTTACTTTTGATATTTCAGAAATCAAAAAAGTGTTTCCAATAAAAATTGTAGGATATTGAAGGGAAAAAGATAGTGTAATGTTTGATTTTGGAATGATCTTGAAAAACTGTCAAGGTCAACTTTAACGTTTTAAATGAAATCATACAGCTTTTTCGGTATAAATTGATTCTCCTCTGATCATTCAGTATACAAACACACCAGGATTAAATCATAGGAAAGTGAGATATTTTATCCTGTTACTTTTTAATTCAAAATATGAAATATCTTATACACTATTCACTTTTCAACCACTTCATCTTAATACTTTTATATATAGAATAATCGATAAAATCGATTGTTGTAAAAAAAACATAGGAGAATGTTAAACAAAATTCTGTGTATTTTACAGATTCATTGATGCATCAGTATACAAAGTTTAGTATCACCGATCGATTTTTTAAGTCATTCTACATACAAAAATATCAAGATGAGGTAGTCGAAAAATAAATAGTTTATGAGATATTTCATAGCTTGTATTGAAAATATAAATGTAAAATTATAAGGATTATAAATTATAAGGGGAATTATAAAAATAAAATTTAAAATATTTCGGAAAATATAGACTTGTCGATGATTTTATTTCAGTATTTTTGTGCGCAGGATGACCAGAGGAATTGATTTATGTTGAAGAACTCATATGATATCATTTAAAAAATTGAAGTTAATCTGGACAGGTTTTTTCAAGATCACTTTAAAATCAAATAAATATTACGTTTTTTTCTACTTCAATATCCTACAATTTTTGTTCAAAACATGTTTTCTAATATATCGAGCTGTAAAGAGTTGTGTGAGCCATCATATACAATATAAAATATATTAAACGTGAGTTCAATTTAAAATAAATACTCACACCCGAAATCTGCAATCTTAGGAAGATCGGGACCCCATGGAATGCACAATACTCGTCCAATCAACATAAAGAAGAATCCACCCCATAACATTACCGTACGTTCATCGAATCTATAAACAGGAAAATTGCTGTGTCACATATATTTCATATTTGTTTATTATTATACAGCATGTTTGATATATATACGACACATATAAAACTTTCATGTATGTGTAGATTAGATAAAAAATTCCTCTACTATTTTGCAAACTACGTAAAATTTTTAGTTATTAATTAAAGAAGTTTGGCGAATGATCGCATGGGATAACAGTGCAGAATATAATAATAAGTATGATTTGCATTGGGTGTATTTGTATATTGAGTCAAACTAAATAAAAAAGTCCTCTACCATATCAATTAAACAAGACTGACAAATGATTGTACGTGATTATTCGCCAATCTTTTTAATTAATAATTAAAAATCTACGTGGCTATTTGCAAAATGGAAGAGGATTATTTGTTTAATGTAATGTAAAAGCACACAATGCAAATCGTACTTACTATCACATCCTGCACTATATCCCACATGATCGTTCGTTAATCTTTTTTAATTAATTCAAAATTTTACGTGATTTGTTGCAAAATGGTGTAATTTTCATTTTGATCTAATTTACATAAACACAAGATTTTTATGTTATTGTCAGATACCTGTACGATATATTGTAATTTTTTAGATAAATGAGTAGAAAATGTTATATATCTATATTATAAAATTTTTGTGATTACCTTTTACAGAGTGGTTCAATCATGGCAAATGTGATACACGCTATTATGGCTCCAATACTCATCAAAATTCCCATGTAGTACAGTGCTTCTTGCTTCGTCCAAGCAAATTGATCCATGGTGAGAGAAGTACCCAGTCTGCATCAGAAGAAGTATGTGTATTAATTGAAGTTTCTTATCTAGCAAACTTTTTTTACGATTTGCATTTTATATTTAAGTAAATATACTTACGTTTCAAGAAGAACAAAGTTGAAAACTAAAACAAAGAATGCGCAAATTAATGTCCACGATGCCAGGTAGTCAGGTTTTAAGGACTTGCAAATTTCTTTTTCTGCAAATATGTTAAACTTAATTAGATGTACACACATATACATATAACCTAACCAAAAAGAATAGACAGTAAAATCTGTTACCAGTAGCTTTTCCGTCATTACGCATGGCTTCTTTTATAGCAATTTTGTGTTCCTTGAAATTCCATGGGAGGAACAAAATAAAATTAAAGATACCCATTATTACATTAATCCAACCAGCTGTTGTGTACATGTTTAAAGGCAGCATCATAAATGTAATACCATGATCTCCGAGAGGTGTAACAGCAGCTTGTAATCCAGGGCCTACCACAAAACCCAGTACCTAAAAGTATATTATATTGTTTGCCTTTCTATTAATATAAATTTAATTCTCAATCAAAATATCAATATATTCTATCAATATATTCGTTTTCTATGTAAAATTCAGTTTTAGCAGTATTATGATCAAGATCATAAGAAATTACCTGTGCAAGAGATACCATGGAGACAGCACGTGTACGTTCAGAAAATTTTGTGGCTGCAGATAAATAAGATCTTGCTACTGCTATGTTGGCTATAAAAGAGAAATAACATATATTTGTGATCATTAAATCAAACGTAATATTTCTTTCTAACAAGTGGATATACTACATATGATCTAAACATTGAAGAATTTTATTAACCTGAGCTAACTCCAACGAAGAATCTGGCAGCAACCATATAAGCCTTCTTGTCACCAGGTATCACTTCAAGGACACTGTAAGCTGCAGATGCTAGAGTGAAGAGTGCTAGAGTCATTAAAAGTGGTAATCTAACTGATCCTCTTCTATTGCCCCACCAACCCACCAGAGGTGAAAACAACATTTGTCCAAATGGATTAGCCGCTACTACATATCCCATAAACTCTTTTCCTGCTGTAGGATCCAACTAAACAAACACAAGTGCATGTATATGAAAATGTATATTACACATAATTTGAATGATTTCTGTATACGCATACAATATAATACTTGAAAATATGATATTTTTATATATTACATACCTTGTCCAAATATGGCCAAACTCCAGTCAGTATAATACTGAAGCCAAGAGACATTAAAAACATAGTAAAGTAAATTACATATACACTCCTCCATCGTTCTTTTCTTTCAAGTTCAGTTTCTAGGTCATCAAGATAAGGTTCAGTGTGCCTAAAAAAGTTCAGTATACCTATTTATATATTCAAAATGCATTAGATAATATAAAAAGTCATATTTCAAAAGCTTATAGTCAAAGTTTAGAAACTTATAAAGATTTTTATAATTATATACATTTAAGAAAGAACAAATGTACCAATATTTAACAAGAAAAATTTATATAAAACTTACCTTCTAACAAAGAATTTCTTGTAACAATCCATTAAAACTATTATATCATTCTACTTTTCAAATTTTATTGCAAGACAAATCAGTATCTTGAAGAAGTATCAATAACCTAATATATAGGTTACCTAAACCTATTGTAACAAAACAATATTTATTAAAATTTTATTATTTTAATGATATACAGTTTTCTTCAATGACATAACAAAATTGTTTTTGTATCTGCATTTAAACTTATATAGATAATACTATGTGGTAATTATGTATATAACAATAATTATGCAAAATATTGTTGTGGAAAATTTCATAACTATTAGCTATATTGTGCCACAGTTATGTTAAAATTTACATAAATTAACATCAATAATTTTTAGTTTGTAGTTTAGTTGTAGCAAGACTTATAGTTCGGTAAAATTAATAGCAAAATAATGAAAACACAAAAGAATATAATTTGGGATCGAATTTAATGGAAAATTTTTAAGTTATAACGTTTCGTTACGAAGCTATTAAAAGAAGTAATAAGGAGTAAACAACATATTACAAAACATGCCATATATGCAATTAAATATAAACATATGAATACGTCTATCAGTATTATTTTACTTACGTTTAAGGACTGCATCAGCGCAGTCTTATCAAAAGATTATTCTCAGCCACATACAGTTGAGAGATGATTATTGAACTCACAAAGATGTTACTTTGTTATTTTATTTGGCATATCACAGCAGTTAATTAATATGATTCGACAAGAAGAATGTAAAATACACGTAAAGTCCTATCCAAACAAACATGTGTAATCACATATTGCACATTCATCTCTCCCTCTTTCTCTCTCTCTCCCCTCCCCTCCTCACTCTCTCTCTCTCTTTATGGTTCAGCTAGTGTTAGTATTCAATGTTCAATTTTGGGTTACACCTAGCCTTTAGTGACCCCACGCCATTGCTCCCAGACTCAGTGCTGGCAGTTCGCGATATATTTTCGCGCACGCGCATTGAGCAAACTCTGTGGTAACCTCAGCGCCGTATCTATTTTAAGGTATCATAAGATCCTTCACCTAAAGGAAAATATGAAAGGATTGTAGGAAGAAAAAAAGTTTGTGGAAAGAAACAGAATGCTATTCATAAGTAAAAATAAATATATTTTTTACTTTATATCACTTTATATCACAATATCACTTTATATTAAAATTGCACTTTTTATCACATTTTATTTATTAATATATACTATATATACTTATTATCACATTTTACACAGCTATACTAATTATTATAACTATATTAATTATACTAATTTATTATTATGTCATTTCACTACCTATCTAATCTAACCACTCCCAGGCAAACAACACAGACAGACGGCCGAGTATTTTCTGCATGTCCCTTAAGAACCCCCTATTAGTGCCTAACGCCGTCATTGGAAACTGCTTACGTCGAGCTGCTACGTCACTTCACGCATGCGCACAAGGGCTTCTGTCTATATAGAAAATATCGCGAACTGCCAGCACTGCCCAGACTAGTGTTATGGCTCCTACACACAGGACGCGGTAATGCTTGCCGCGCGACAACCAATCAATATGTTGTTTTTCTATAAGAGCTAGAAGGTTATTACGGAAAGCAGCATATTGATTGACTGTCGCGCGAACTTTTGCCGCGCGGCAGCCAATCAATATGCTGCTTTCCGTAATAACCTTCTAGCTCTTATAGAAAAACAACATATTGATTGGCTGTCGCGCGAACTTTTGCCGCGCGGCAGCCAATCAATATGCTGCTTTCCGTAATAACCTTCTAGCTCTTATAGAAAAACAACATATTGATTGGCTGTCGCGCGAACTTTTGCCGCGCGGCAGCCAATCAATATGCTGCTTTCCGTAATAACCTTCTAGCTCTTATAGAAAAACAACATATTGATTGGCTGTCGCGCGAACTTTTGCCGCGCGGCAGCCAATCAATATGCTGCTTTCCGTAATAACCTTCTAGCTCTTATAGAAAAACAACATATTGATTGGCTGTCGCGCGAACTTTTGCCGCGCGGCAGCCAATCAATATGTTGTTTTTCTATAAGAGCTAGAAGGTTATTACGGAAAGCAGCATATTGATTGACTGTCGCACAAACTTCCGCCGCGCGGCAGCCAATCAATATGTTGTTTTTCCGTAAGAGCTAGAAGGTTATTACGGAAAGCAGCATATTGATTGGCTGTCGCGCGAACTTCCGTCGCGCGGCAAGCATTACCGCGTCCTATGTGCAGAAGCCATTAGAGATTTGTTCTTTCCAGGGGTCTGTACTTAGATTTGTTCTTTTCCTCTGCGGCACTAGTGCAAGCAGTGTACACTAAAGTGTTCTTTTCAACGATTAGGTTGAGTTCCCACTTAAAGGCCAAATTACACTGGGAGTGTTTACAATAAGTTGTCGGATTGGAAATCCGACTGAATAGTGGTACTCAATTGACCCATTTCAAAAAATTCCCTAGCTTAATCAGATTTTAGTAAAAGCTGTCTCAGCAGTAATCGGATTCATAGCGACGTGAGGTGATACTTTGTCCTCAAGAGAAATAAAAAGATAAAAGTCGGTAGGTACGTAATTATTATTCTAATGATTAGCGCGTATTATTTTCCTTATATATCAATATATGAATAAATGATCTGTTACACTTTTACTGATTAAATTAATGAAAAGAAATATTAGTAATCTCACGTGTAGTAAACATTAACCTATAATAATATTGGATTTATGTTATAATTTTGAATGTAACAAAATAAGAACAGTATAAAATCTGTCAAATTAACATTTCAAACATACTAATTTTTAAATATATTAAGAACATTTATGCATTTATATATAGATACATATAAATATGTGTGCTTGTATATGTGTATGTTCATATGTGTAATCTATAATTATTTACTAACTTATATTTTTATATAAAAAGAATATTTATATTTTTATAGATTGTGTATATATATATATATATATATATATATATATATATAAAAGGATGGATATATTTTATATATGGAATGCTCTATTTAATAACAATGACAACGATATCTAGCCAATATACCATGTCGGAGAAGCACATCTTAAAATAAGGAATTATTTTGTAAATGTAGTTCTTCATTATTTTGTCACAGATAATTATAAGTTTTATTGTAATGTATAATATTTGTTTCCTATGTATAATCTCTTTTGGAATAAAATTATTGATTAAAGTAGTCAACGTACTTACAATGTACTTACCTACATTTTCTTCCATTAAGTAGTCTTCACTCCTCACAGAACATTGACTGGCATTCAAGCTAATAAATGTAATGTTAATCAAATAAGTGGTAGTTAATATTAGCATGGTAGGACTAAGACAAATTGAGGCAGATGCTTAAAATGGACATATTACCTTAATAATTTATCGACCATCTTTTATGCAATTAACAGCGATGAATGGATTCAGAACCTGCAATATTACAGATAATTCTACAAAATAAAGAAGTAAAGCAGATACGTATTAGTAGAGAATGTCATTTCTATAAATAACATCAATCAATGTTTGATGTTCTTTATAGTAGAAGAGGTAAATGATTTTATCGGATAGTGTCAAGTAGCATACATGTATTAATTTTAGTACATATTCTTAACATAAATATTTTCATTTTAGTGACCTGCAATTTTGCAAAGGAAAGAAATTTTTATCAGCTTCTCTAGAGTCAACATAAACCAATAATAATATTATATCAAAATGTGTGCGTATAATAACACTCCGCTAAAAAATATTAATTTAACAGATTATATACTGTTTTTATTTTGTTACATACAAAATTATAACATAAATTCAATATTATTATAGGTTAATGTTTACTACACGTGAGATTACTAATACTTCTTTTCATTAATTTAATATTAATAAAAGTGTAACAGATCATTTATTCATATATTGATATATAAGGAAAATGATACGCGCTAATCATTAGAATAATAATTACGTATCTACTGACTTTTATCTTTTTATTTCTCTTGAGGACAAAGTATCACCTCATGTCGCTATGAAGCTAATTCGATTACTGCTGAGACAGCTTTTACTAAAATCTGATTAAGCTAGGGAATTTTTTGAAATGGGTCGATTGAGTACCACTGTTCAGTCGGATTTCTAATCCGACAACTTATCGTAAACACCCTGGGTGCTTTCCAATTGCAATATCCCTAGACACTTTCATGCACACAGCGACACAAGTTGCATTCCAATTGTCGTAATCGTCGACACAACATTAAGGCTAAATCACATTAGCGATTGGCGATTGACGATTGACAATTAAAGATTAGATTTTAACGAATCAACAAGCTTCAGTCTTGGCTTGCTTTGTTCTAATTGGTCAAGTTCCAATCTTCAATCGTCAATCATCTATTGCCAATCGTTAGTGGTTGCGTTCCGTTTTACGCATTATGCGCGCATTGCCTACAATATACGTAACACGAACTATAGATAAATGCGCGCATATGTGTGAAACGGACGCGTCCAGTGTGATTTGGACTTTACATGTCCGTACTCAACTCGAGGGCTATTATGGCTTCTGCACACAGGACGTAATGCTTGCCGTGCGGCGGAAGTCTGCGCGACAGCCAATCAATATGTTGTTTTTCCGTAAGAGCTAGAAGGTTATTACGGAAAGCAGTATATTGATTGGCTGTCGCGCGAATTTCCGCCGCGCGGTAAGCATTACCGCGTCGTGTGTGCAAGAGCCATAAGGAACGATAAAGATAAAGAACGCGGTAGCGTTAGTAGCATGCTCCCAGAATGCAGCCTAGGTCTCGAGCTAGGACAGCGATGTAGTGCAATATGGTGACGTACACGAATAAGAATAGGTTGGAATCCTCAAGTAAATAAACAAGCAGCATAATAACTTAAGGGGAGATATACACCTAGCATGGTCGAAAAAATCGATTTTTTTTTTTGCATTTTCTTGATGCTTGAGGTCTCAAGAATATCTGGTTAAAATTGCAAGTCAATATCTCGATAAATAACGAAGTTACAGCCGAGAGAGTAAACCGTCTCCGAGAGCGCGCCGTACCGCCTGTTTTGCGGCCGAGCCGAGAGGCAGCGACCCTTCGAAGAGAGCGTGTCTAGACCTGTTTTACGATTCTATTGTGTTTTCGGGCGTGGTCGGGTCCAGGTATAATGGAAATATCACACGACCGTTATTCTTTGCCGGAAATTGGACGCGTTTCGTCAGTAGCTTGCCGTTCGTGCAACTGTGCGTTACAGTGAGTTTTCGTCTGTGAATACATATTCTGAGGAAAATGGATAACAGATATAAAGGTTCTCGGGAAGCTCATCAATCCGGATCTTTTCGCAAAGATCGAAGCAAGAAGAAGATACC